CTCAGGTTTCAAAACATCCTTTTTTCTGTCTTCTAGGCTGTCATATCTCCCATTCGTGAAGCGTAGCAAAAGGAATAGGGCAGTACTATTACCAAGGTAGTCAGAATGTGCTCAGGACCAGATTTTCCTGTGAAATATTCGGGTTGAATTCAAGGCCAGAGTAAGAATAGTGCCTTAGATGTAAAGTGAACACATGCATGAAATATGAGTGAGTCATACTTAAACTATGTAATATTTCTCTGTGAATATTTAAAGCTCTGATTTTTAACTATATCTAAATGCAAAATTCCTTCATTTTCATTCTGTTTTGCCAAATTTTTGGCTGGTCTTAAGTAAATAGAAGGAGGAAAAACACAATTCTGGGAATAACATACTTGCTGAAACAGCAGAAGGCCTTGTGTTCCTTGGCCTCTCCTTAAGCGGATCTGGGGCAGAGTGGCTGACACTGGTGCTGGCATTCTGGAGCCATTTCTGCATGATGAGAGCTCCTTCTCCCCTCCTTCATCCCCCAGCCTTGTGCTCCCCCTGATGTCTCTCACATGTCTTCCCTCACTCCTCACTGCTAGGCAGCCATTTGCCCTTCCTCAAGTATGTTTTACCAGAGATGTCAGCTCCTCTGATGGGCCCGGCTGTGGCTGTGTGTGGTGGGGCTGCTGTGGAGGCGGCTGGAACTGGGTGGAACCAGCTGTGCCTGGTACCAGGCAGCCCCAGCTTCTCCTCAGAGAGGCCAGCGCCATGTACACAGCTTTCATGGGCCAGAGCTGTGGCAATGTCTTCATTTCTCTGAGAAGAAACACATCCTGTTCACAAAGTCAGATGGGAGAAGTTCGGTTCTGTTCGGTATGGTCTCAACTGTTGTCTGTTTTCTGCCATAGCTCTCTAAAATCAATACAAGTGAAATGCAAGAAAAAACTTTTGTGGTAAAAGTGGGTTAGAAGAATGTGAGGCCTGCAGGTGTGTTTTGAAAGACAGCCTGGCTGGGAATATTAAAGTTTGTGTTATAGTATGGGGGCCCTGGGACCTTTCTACTTCAGTGTTTCTTGTGACATAACACTGGTTTTCATCACTTCCCACTTTCAGCCATGGCTGATGTGGAACATTGGGGAGTTTTTTATCTTTTCCTGCTGCCTGTCTTTGCAGAGAGTCAGGTCTGAGTACCTTAGAAACACCAGCTAAGCGCTCTGAAACTATACCAAGGGTACTATATTGTAAGGCTGCACTGCATAGCATTACAGGCAAAGCCATATGATAATATATAGTATTATTACATTATTAATAAGATAATAATGTATAATAATCTGTCAAAAAAGTAGCATAGATAGAACTGGTTTAATTCCAACAACTTCTTTTTCTTGGTATAATACATTTCTTGCACAGGAATTGTGTATGACCTTAAGGGATTAAGGTTCCTGAGGCTTGTTCTTCAGAAATTCACATGTAAAACTGTGCTGTCATAGGCATACCATTATAGTTCAATAGCTGTTGTTTTGTCTTCGGGTATGTAGAATAAGACAGATTCTGATACATGCCCCCTTCTGCCTTGAAACTGTTTTGTAAATTAAATTCTTTCTCCATTCCAGAGTCAAACCTTTACCTGAAGATTTATGTTTCAGTTTAAAACTGAGTGCTTTTCTCACACTAAACATGACCAACAAAACCTAGGCAGCAGACCACTAAATCCACCGTGGATGGTACTCAGCATAGCTCTGGGATGTCAGCTTTCTTCAAATAATACCAATTCAGATGAGCAGAAAGTCTGTGCCAGTGTTTAACAAGTTTGAGATTCTCCAGAAATGTGGAGGATGCACTGTCCTTTTTTTGATGGCTGTTTTTTTTTTTTTTATTACATTAGGAAAAGAAATAAATGCAATAAAAGTTATTTTAAAGCAGTTAAATATTAGAAAATAGTTGTACCCAAACAAGTCTTCTCAGATACATTTGCCATCAGGTGGCACATTTTGCATGATGACTACATATATGTCAATCTAAGTCCTGCACTTTTTCCCTCTGATTAGCTTCACCCTAGTGAGGGAAGGGCTTATAGCCATAACCCCAGGCACCTGGTTTGGCTTTTCTTGCCCTGATTGGAGGCACCTGTGCAGGAAGTGCCTGCTAATCCTAATAGTGGTTGAACTTGAGGGAGAACTGCACCAGGAGTTTTGCTTGTGGAAGTAAGTATTTTAATGCATTTTAATTTTCTTTAAGCATATGGTAGAAGAGGAGCAAAGAAATGCCTGTTTTTTCTTGTAGAATAACAATGTGCAGTATATATACTATCTGTCAACTTTAGAGGTCAAGCATTTAAGTCTGAAAGTGTTGTTCCCTGTGGGAAAATATGCTTGGTGGTGTATGTAGGTGGAAATGATTTGTTAGGGCTGGAATGTGGTCACAGTGGTATAAATCAAAGATAACCTGCTAGACCATAAGCACCTTTTTTTGTAACTGTAGAGTGTATTTTTAATTTAACACTGGTCTGCTGTAAAGAGTCAACTGAATTGTCTGTTTGGTTTTTCCCAAAGGTAATGGGAGGAAATGTGGGATTTAATGTTTCTTACTCTATTTAGGAGAATAAATTTGTTTCTCCACAACAAGTCTATATCAGCTTTTGAGGAAATCAGATTGTATTTTCATCATGTCATTTTCAGGTTTTCAACTCACCTCTATATTCCTGTGTGCAATTGTACCATCTCAGAATTTGGTTCATGGCTAGTGTTGTATACAAGTTGGGGGTTAGATGAGAACACTCTTTTTGGTTACTAGTGGAGGAACAAATTATGCAAGCAAGATTACAACCCAGTTTTCTTTGTGATTCTCCATGGGTTTTGCTGCAACACGGGCACTCACTGTTCATAAATGATTTCATGACTGAAGGCTCTTCTTGGGGTGAGAGTCAGTTTGCAGCAGGTTTTATCAAACTGTAGTTAATGTCAACTAAAATCAAATTTGCACCTTGAAAACCAGGCAGCTGTGCAGCTGTTTTCAAATGTCTATGATTCATCTTGATTCTTTATTTAAATGCTGAAACACTTTTTCAAACAACTTCTGTAAACAAAATTCATTTGAACAAAATGGCCTTTCTTTAATTGGTTTTAAAATAAATCTGTTTATGTGGGGGATTTTGTGTGTGAGATGGCTTTTAAATAAGATATGGTTTATGGATTTCATAAAATGTGTTTTGTTTTTACTTTTACAAGGCAAAAGGTTTTATTCATCAATGGAAAAATAATACTTGGTTGATAAAGGACAGCCTCTCATTAGAGATAGGGCTTATAATTTAATGTGCGTAGGAAGCGATAAGCAATAGCTCCACTTCTTCAGTAATGTTGATAGTTGTGATATACTGTGCATAAGAGAGGATTCTTCTTTTTACCCAAATCCAGAAACATAGCATATCTTTGCTAATTTTCTATACCTAACTCTAAATCACCTGAGCTGTAAAACGGTACATACAAAACTTAAAGTGCTTGTCTGGTTGTATTGCTTTGCCTGACAGAAACCCTTTCTGTGTTGTTAATTATAATGCAGAATAGGGGAGGGGAAAATATGATTACCACATAGTAGTGGTACAAAGAAATTCCTCCATAGAAGAGAATCATAGTCAGGGTTGCTGTTATTTTATTGCTGTTCCCAATTATTTGACTGTTTCACAGCAGTCAAAAAACAGATACTAATCAGAAAAAAAAAAAAAGTTAATTAGAAAAAAAAATCACCAATGGCCAAATCTTCTGGAAAGGGCAATAAATAGCTATTTACTTACCAGCTGAATGTTTCAGGAAATCTGGCTTTCTGAAAAAGCCACAGACCTGTAAAGAAGGAAAAGTGGAATAACTGAAATTTCTTGACAAATATGAAAACTCATTTGGCCAATTCATACTGGCTTTTTCATCAAGGTAATTAAAGAACTTAAAATTCCCACGAAGTTTCTGGAATGCAGAGTGATTCATAAAGAGAAAAAGAGATGAGTTAACAAGTTCTGTTAGTGTGTGTTGCAGGTGCTAGTACCTGTTTTCAAAACAGTGTAAAAAGCATTACATTATACTTTCTAGCTGAAATTCCAGGTACCATAGATGATAACCAAAAGATAATTACAGCATCTTTAAAATGGTGTAACCCCAGACCTTTATTTTTGGGTTGGTTTGGTTTTTTTTTTTTTTTTTTTTTTTTTAATTTTTCTCATTTCCCTTCCTTAGGTATTAATGTGTTTGGTAAAATTAGTACCGGTTCTGCTCTTTGTATAAAAATTTCCACAATGAGATTTTTCACAAGGTCTGTCAATAGCTCTACTGGGAAAATAAAGACTCACACAAGAAGCAGCTTTATATGGTCATAGTGTGATTTTGGCATCTTCTGAAGTACTCACAGATGATTCATGTACAAGTCCTTAAAAAAAGCTTTATAAATCTATTTGTACCTTTCATTCCTTCAGCCTCTAGGTTTAATCACAATTTTTGCTCTTCCACAAAAAATCACATTATTTTTGAATGAACATTTGAGAGTTTTCTTTTTCCTTTTCAGCTTTGCTACTGCTTACTACTGTCTCTATTTCTTTCACTGTTGTTGGCTGTAAGGCTCTTCTGATGCCTCCCCTTCTTTATACAAACTGATTTCTTCTGTTCATTTTAATCCTTCTGTTAAGTTCAGTTCTGCAGCCTCATCTGGTTTAACTTGTTTCCATAAATTTTCACTTTTTCATGAATATTGTCATGGAACTTGTTGCAATATTTTTTTTATTATTGGTAGATCTGCATTTACTTTGTGGCTTCTAAGCTAACTTCAGTGTTTTAAGCAATCCTATAAAAATCTTACCTTTGTGTTGTATTCAAGCTGAAAATTTGGACCTCCTTCCCCAAAACTCCCCTCAAAATTATAGCTTCTTAAATGAAAGGCTGCTGGATAGCCTTAACAGCACTATTTGACTCTTCCCCACTTTCCTCTAAAGATAGCCTTAACAGCAGTATTTGACTTTTTTTTTTTTTTTTCCCCCACTTTCCTCTAATCCTAAGGGTTGTCTACAGAAGTGCAGACAGTTGTCTTTGCTGCAAGCCAGCTGGATGAAAGCCAGTTCTTGCTCAAAAGCCATGTGGCAGAGTTACTGTGACTATAAGCTAAAGCTGCTGTGTCCCGCCTCTTCGTTCAGGTAAGGCAGATGTGTCTCTGTTAATTTATCTCTCTGCCTTTTTTGAGATACACATAATTTGAACTGTGTTTGAAGGTGAACTGCAGGACTAACACTATACAACATGTAAATGAAGTACTGTACACATAACTGAGCATTTTTGGGGTGCTGTCAAATTCTTATTCAGGGTTTATAAGGTGTTTTTCTGTTTCACTTGAGTAATATCTTTTGGAAATTATGCTGGTTTTGTTTTGTTGTGGTTTTTTTTCATAATGAAAGAGACAGTTTCCTGGAATATTATGTATATTTTTTCTTAAAAAAAACCCAAACAACTAAATAATGCTTTCAATTTTGCTGACAAAGTACTGGGTTTAATGCTTGGTTCCTTCAGAAGAATGTGTTTGCACAGCAGGTTCAGTCCTGCATGAATGGAGAGTTTTAGACTTTGATTTTATGGACAGATCTTCTCTGTCACTATGATCCAAAGACAGATTTTGGGGTTTTTTTCATTATTGGCAGCAGTGAGCTGTATGTCTTCTGGCAGTGACAAGTTTAGTCTTCTGCTTATGAAGTCTGATGCAATACTATGGTGCATTAAGTTAGAAATACAAGGTATGAGGCCTTTATGTGGAGAGAAAATAATCAGTGAAAAACATAACTTGCTGAATTGAAAAGACCTATTTATGGATTTATACTTAGTTTGTCTTTGTGATATTTTAATTTACATTCATGAGAATACATTAAGATGTACGTCAGTGTTCAAGCAGGGCTCCAAAGTAAGATAAGTTAGAAAGCAAATTTACCTGTATATGTTTAGAAACTTCTGGTCATTTCACAGAATTCTTTCTTTTGGACCTTGGAAATTGTGTTTCCAATTACTGTATGAGAAACTATAAATTACAGCTATACAAAAGTAAATTATCACTATGTGGAGGTGAGAGGAGTAATATTGACACATAAATAGACAACATCAGATTTTAAGAAGTTAGCAACAGTAGGGGGAAAATTCACTGAATTAAAGATTAAAATCTGTCTATGGAACTTATTCTTACCTCAAATACATTAATCTTTTGAGAGATGTAGTTTTTGGTAACACAGTTTTCTTTCAAGAACTAATGGCATCCAAATCTAGATTGTGAATGAACCCAATCTGTTAAGGGAAATACCATTGCTCAATAATAGTATGATAATGTATTAATAAATAAGGTATTAAATAGTTTGCACTCACCTCTCATGTAGGTCAGATAAGCAAAACCTTTTGCTCCTGTTATTTAGATAAGGAGAGGAAAGAAAAAGAACCAAAACCTGTTAAATCAGAATTACTTGCTCCTGTTCAGCCATTAGGAAATGCAGCTGCAACAGGAGGTGCATTTAAACTGTCTGGCTGCACTAACCTTAGAGCAGAAACATTCTAACTTTAATGTATGAAGACACAGCCCTTAGCAAATGTTATTAAATACTCCTTTGAAATCTTCAAAAATTATCAGGACCCTCTCTTGTGACATTTGTACACCTATGAAATAAAGATGAGTTATAATGTCTTCCTGTGCTCCAGAGGTCTGATGAACTGCAGCTCACAAAGTTGTCAACTTTATGTTATTAATTGCAAGTGTCAATATTTAGGTTCATATGATACACCTTTTGAATTTTGAGAGGATTTAGTATCCTCAGTTCAATAAAGTTATTAAAAGTAAACATGTCCATCCATTTCTGTGACTTGCAACGTGGATTGCATTAACCAGCTGTGCAGCTCTGTCAATGTAGATTAGTTCTGGTCATGCACCTCATAGGAGAGCACAACTAATTTCAGTGCATCGTGGATACACTGCCTGGAATCTGTCCTGGCACTGGTCCTTAATGTTTATTTTTAAAATACCAGAATCTTCAGCAGATGTTCCGAATGATGAAACAAATCTAAACCAAATGAAATTGCAAGATTAAATGACTAAGACTGCCTTTGAAATAGTGCATTTTCTCTCTTTAGCTTTATCATTAAAGAACAGATGTATTAAGATTGGCTTATGTACTGTAAAGTATATACATTTTAAGTTACAGAAGTGAGAATAAAACAGCTTATAAGTGGAGTTACCCTTTTAGTAGAACAATAAAGACACAAAGGAAAAATTAACTAGAAGAAAACAATATCCTACATAAAAGGCAATTTCCTGTACTTTTGCTGTTCCAAAATCAAATACTTTTAAGAAATGAGCACAAAAAGAAATATTCTAGTAGGTAGATGTTCATCTTCACTGATAATTAGTTTTTAATTTGAAATGGTATCTCAAATTTTCATCATAATGATTCATCTTGTTCAAGCTTATGAAGATGGTGGAAAGTATTGACATGATAAAGCTAAAATCATTTCTTCTTATTGAAGAAAGATATCTAAATATATGGCTAAGGTACTTGCAGGTCTTTAAGTTCGTAGAGATTGGTGAATGATGATTTCCTTTGAAAAAGAGACCAATTTTAAGTCCTTGAAATTTTCTTCTGAAACTGAATCTGTGTAAGTGGAGTCATATCAACACAAAATTTCATTATGCCACTACTGCATTAAAAATCACATTATATGATTGTTATCGGTAGTATTAAGAGTGGCTTGGCAAAAGATTTTACTCTGACATTGAAGAATTGGGTCAATTTGAACTGTCTTGCAGATCTGTTGATTTCCTGTACTGCTTCTGGCCCCAGAAAGCTAAAAAGGATGTTTGGTTATTTGTTGTTAGAAATAATTATGGTTATTACGTATTTTTATATCATAGGTCAGGTTTTGGTTTTAAAGTTTACATGGGTAAATGGATGAAAATATTAAAAACAGTGATGTGATAATGCCAGAAAAGTGTAATGAAGAGTTCAAAACACGTTTGCAGGAAAAATCCCCCCAAAAAACAAACCAAATTCTATTCCCTTCATCTTTTTCACACTGTCCAAGCAAAAGGCAAGAGGACAGGACAAAGCAAATGGTTATGCTGCAGAATTTTCATCCTGCAACCTCATTTTTCGATAATTAGTCTCCTGTTCTGTCATGATGCAGAAATAATGAAGAAAAGGGAATTAGTAATTCAAAAGACTGCAGAGATGTAAAGCAGTAGAAGTAGCTTGAAAAATGTTTCACCCATAACTTAATGGTTTTCATAATTTCAGTTTTATAAGTATGGTAGCAAGTTAGTTGATATAGTTATGCACTTACATGCTTAAACAGTGTAAAGTGCTTATTGTATTTGAGTATTTAGGATGCTTGGCTGGACATGGGGTGGGCAGGGGGAATAAATCTTGATTCAGTTTTCTGACTGTAACGCTTGTGCAGACATCCTGGATTATCATAAATAAATGTGGATTTTTAATCACATGAATTCACTGCCAAGCATTTCCAAACAGTGTGGTTTTGGTTGTATATGCTTGCAGAAGCTCAGACTTGGAGTAGTTGATGCCATTTTGGCAAAATTTGTCAAGGGACTTTCATCAGATATAAAGATGTTTAAAAATGGGCAGCTTCAAATAACTTTTAATGGGGAAAAATATGTGAACAGAAGTTGAATAAATGATATTTTATGGAAACAATGTGTGTGTGCTCATATATATATAAAATTGCTAAATAGCCTCTTGTGATTAAATTGTAAGCAGGATAATCTCCAAAAATTGTAGTGCTAAAGAAATTATTAATATAGACAATATAACCTGAAAATTTTATTCACTCAGAACATTTGATTTCTGTCTGGGAGCAGTATGTGAATATTCACCATCCTTTACTTTTGATTCATTAGAAAGTCACTCAAAAAAGCCAAGTCTGTGTTATCAATGTTAAAGGTAGACAGGCTTAAACACTGACCTCTAGTAACAGCCACAAGGCCTTTTGCTGTACTAAGTTTTATAACACATAAAAACTTAATAGCTCTTGATCAAAAAGCAAAGTATTTGAATTATTTCCAAGAGATTTCTAAATAATATGGGTTCTTTTTGTTTGTTTGTGTGTTGGTTGTTTTTTTTTAATATTTCTATGAAAAGATGTGGTTTTGACTCCTGTGTTTAAAAGGAAGTGAAGTATTTGCCTCTTTATTTTGAAATGGTCATAATGGCCAAGGGCTTGTACTGTTAATAGGAATATTTCCAATTTATTAAAAAAAACCCATCTAATATTAAATCTTAAGGTTTATAGCAAGACCATGTCACTTTTTATGAAAGAATGTTGTCTGCTTTTATAAATTTCTGCATGATTAAATATGGTTTATCTATAGTATGTCCAGGTTTATGTGTATATAAATACACATTTGTATAAAAATAGTACATTTTTCGCATTTCTTGCTTCTTTGAGAGATATCTGTCACTTTTCATCTTTGCTGTTATACTGCAGAAATTTGGATAGGCTTACTAGTAATAAAACAATCAGTTAAAACCTTTCATATTCTCTAGAATTAATCTAATTCCTTCTGCAAGCAGTATATCTTGGATCTCTGCAGCAGTCTATGGATTCTCATGTCGTACGAAAGAAGTCCATTTTTTGTTTTCAGTCTGCAGCATGCTGATTTCCCTGCTTGTTCTGGCTTATGTTGTAAGATAAAATGACTTACAGCTCTCAAATTACCTTCTTGCATATAATTTGAGCACTTTATCATCACAGTTTTTACACTTGAAAATATGTGTATGTGCTGGTGAGTGGAATTTGTTTCCATAATAAGAGCAGAAGAGAATTAAATTATTGCTGCTATTCAGAAGGAAATATTTTGATTGTTGGGTTCTTATCATCAAATGTCTGTCACTTAGGCTTGTACCAGAATTCATGAGATGTTTAAATCTCTGGCTCTGGGCATGCATTCAGCCACAGACAGCCAGAAGCACCAGAACTGGCTTTGTGGTTCTGTTTAATTTTTCATTATGGCTGTGCTATGGTCATGTGTATCCCCTGAATTCCTCATCTTGCTGACTGCTTCGCAGATGATGTATAGTTGCAACGTGTCATCAGTGTGCCGTGCGAACCTATTATACTGCAATATATCATTAAAGACCCTTCTTTCAAGACAGGA